CTTCATCATCAGCACCCTCACCATCAACAGCATCATCATTATCATGAAAATCCTGGAGGAGAAGGAGAGGATGTAGCATCTTACAATACAAGCTCTTTAGTGAGGGAGGGACAGGCAGAGTTGAAGTTGGGGAGAGGATAGCAGACCATGGAGATTTCCAGAACATCAGCTTTTAGCTTTCTCCAAAACCAGCGTGGAGTCCTGGAGGAGTTCTCTGTGGAGGCACACTATCAGATTTGTTTTCAGGCAGAACACTGGGTGGTCCCCAGAGGGAGGAAACAGAGAGAAGGAGGCTAACAGAGAGGACAGAAACTTCAATCCCAACTGCAGTCTGGGTCCTGGACTCCACCAGAGTGGCCACAGCCAGCCAGAGAGAGACCCTGCTCCCTGATGCTCCTCTGCCCCATCTCAGTGAATGGTCTCTGTGTGCTCAGCTGCTTCACCCACTAGAGGTGCCCAGATGCCTCCTGCTCTTCAGCCCTGTAGTCTAGTTGGCCAACAAATTAACCAAGTCTACCTTAGAGATCTGATGAGATGACCCAGGTGGAGGTGCTGCTCATGCCAGTCACAGTGGGTGCCCTGGTGAACTGAAAGTGTCTTCTCACTGCCCACAGCCTTGGGTTCAAATTCCACCTTAGTCCAGAGGACCATCCTCTCCCACCTGGACAGAGAAGAAACCTCCCTGCTGGTCTGGCTGCCCCCGGACCTTCCTCTTTCTGAGGCCAGGCTCGTAACTTTCTCAACCACAGAGCTGGTCATGTCTTTCTCTTGTCCTGTCCACATTCCTTAGAGTGGTGTCCCAGGCCCCGGGTAGCTGGCTTCACTTCCTCTCCTCCTCCCCACTATCCCCTCACCCTCCAAACCTCCTTCCCCATCTTCTCTGCTTGGTAAACTTCTACCTAACCTACAAAGCCCAGCTCACTGTCTCTGTGAAGCCTACTTCCTCCTGATCAAGCAGCAAATGGTCTCTCCCATTAGATGTCCAGCCCTCAGGAACATAGATGGCTTAATGCATATAGGTATCCATGATGTCTAACTCCATACCCTAATTAGCTAATTATCTTCTCTTATATTTTTATGTCTTTTGATCCAAAAGTATTCCATTTACTGAAGCTTTCCACAGATCAGGCAATGAGAGCCAAGGTGGAGTGTGAGGGGATGACAGGCATGAGCTCTGAAGGCCATGACGACCTGGGCACCAAGGAGACCAGGTGGGACTAAGGTGCCCCAGCTCTGGAGTGTTCACAGTGCACAACACACTTTCCTCCCTGTCCCCTGCTGGGAGTCAGCTTGTGCTCGCTCTCCCAGCTGCATCCCTGAAACACACACTCATCCACACAGCCCACACCAGCCTCCACCCGCATGTGCAGGGACCTGCCTGGTGCCACAAATACCATCCTTAAAACAATGCCCCTGCCCTGTCCCAGGTGTAGCACCATCAGTCCCCGGCCCAGCAAACTGTGCGAGGGTCAGAGTTGGGGGAATCCGTCTGCCAAGGTCACAGAAGTAGCGTAGGAGGCGGCAGGGATTTGAATCTGGGCCTGTAGGCCACCAATACGTGTGCTGTTTCCACCCCACCGTGCTGTCTCCGCAGGGCATGAACACGTGAATCTATCAACAGTTACTCATTAATGCTCAGCATTATTCCCTCCTCACCCCCCATGCCATTCCAGGCACTGCCCATCACCCCAGAGCCACCTCTGGTTAAGGGGGAGGGCAGGAAGGATGCTCCCCTCCACACCCTGTCAGCCCCCTGCCATCTCCCAGGGTCCAGCCTCCTCACTAGGAGGAGAAACACGAAGGTGGTGACATGGGTGGACCCAAGGACCTTGTCTCTGGTGACCTCTGCTCAAGGCAGTGCGTAGACAGAGCAAGTTGACTGTAAACTGCTTGGAAAATGACTGCAAACCAGCCCAGACCGCTCCAGCAGCAAACACGCTGACAGCCCGGGGCTGGCTCCTGGTGGGGCAGGGCTGGGGAGAGCCCAGCCCAGGCCTCTGGGACCCCTCCCAGACTCCAGACACAGCCACTCGGTGGGGGAGAGGGGTTCTCGGGGGTGGTGCAGGCTGCCTGGGGCTGCAGTCCTAGATGTCCTTCCACTAGGGTCCCTGCAAGAGCCCCTCCCCACCCCTCCTCCTGACTCACACATTGTACAAATGTGAAAACCGAGACTCAAAGAGGGAAGGGGCTTGCGCAAAGTCTCCCAGGCAAGACAGACAGAGCCAAGATTAGAACCCCTGGCCTTGTTTCTAGCCTTGTCTCCTTGGTCTGTCTCTCAGCCGCTGTGTGACCTTGGAAGAGTCACTCAACCTCTCTGGGCATTGAAGGTTTATAACTCCTGAGGTTTCCATTCCACAGGGTTGTTGGGAGAATTGGTAACAGTAAGAGCGACGATGCTTCACCTATGAACAACACTCCCCAGACCCCCAAATATTCCTATATCCTGGCTCTTCTCTGATCTTCACAATAATCCTGGGAGATTGTACAGAGCAGGGGGTTTGGACATCATTTTGCAGAAGAAAAAACTGAGGCTCAGAAAGACAAAGTTCAGCCAGAGAGTTTGGAACAGAACTGGAACTAGAAGCCAGGACTCCCCCCAAAGTGCTCTTCCCATCACTAAATCACACACAAGGCTAGGAATACCTTAAGACTTGGAAAGACAGAGCACTGCCCAATACATGCCACCACGGTTAGAGGTGACTCGCCTGGGATCTCCCAGCGGCTCTGGGAGCTCGGGAGTGGGGAGGACCCACGGTGGAGAGTTATGCTTAAGTCACACATCTGAGTGCCAATCACACTCTGCCGCTTAGCTGTGGGACTTCACCTTTCTGGGTCTCAGGTTTCTCCACTATGAAACGAAAGTGCGGAAGGTACCAAAACTCAGGCTGAGGGCTGAGCGGCGCCCTGGACCAGGCCGCCTGGCAGGTGGTAGACACTTGCGGACTTTTGTTTCAGGCACACAGACCATGTGCTGGGTTTCACTGTGTCTCCCCCACTGTGCCCAGTTCGGGGCTCCAGATCCAGGGGGCTTCTGATCAGCCTTGATGCTAAGTGATGGATGGACGGATAGATGGATGGATGGGCAGATGTTCAGGAGAGCAGAGAGAAGAAAACTGGGAGTCAAGCTGAGAAGAATGACCTGATAGCTGAAGGATGGGGCCTGGCTGGAGCGTGGGGCAGATGCAGTGTCTCCAGCCCTCCCAGCCCCACCCAGCCCCACCTACCTTGGGATAGCACTGGCACATACTCCAGATGACTCCCCCGATCACCATGACGCTGCCCATGGCGTAGAAGGTGCCGTAGACCTGGGGCCGATCATGGCTCATGAGGAACGTGCCAAGGGCCAGCAGGAAAAGCCCCAGCACAATGAAGCCAACGCGGAAGGTCTTCTCATCGGCCATGGCTGCCTGGCCTCTGCACCCCCAGCAGAGGGGCACCGGCAATCCAGCATAAACACCCAGACGGGCAACCCAGGAAAGGACGAAGCTCGGGGATGGCTGCAAACTGAGGCTTAAAGTTACAGGGAGAGCAAGATCCTTTAGGTCCAGGCCCAGTCCCGGACCCACCAGTTCCACTGAAGCCTCACGCTTCAGTGGACCCAAGCACCCATCAGCCACCTCCACTCCTGGCCCTGTCACCTTCCCTCTGGGCCCAGCAGGCCTGGAGTGTGTGTGATTCTGAGGGAAGGAGGGGGGAGGCTCCAGGGGCTGGGCCCCAGCCAAGGCTTTGACATCACCTCATTTGCCTACTGTGGGGCTGGGCTGGCTGGACAGGCAGCACCACCCTCCCAGTCCCGGGAAGCAGGGTGCAATTCTGCAGCTAGAAGATGTCAGAACATCACCAGAGGACTCAAGGATCCCATAGGCTAGCAATTCAGAATCCTGAAGAATTC